AGAGAGAGAGAGAGAGAGAGAGAGAGAGAGAGAGAGAGAGAGAGAGAGAGAGAGAGAGAGAGAGAGAGAGAGAGAGAGAGAGAGAGGGAGAGTCGGTTAGGGAAAGAGAGGTGACCCGACGGAAGGGACGAGGGATTCCTTGGGGACAGTAAAACTTAGCTAGCGGCTTTGGTCTTATGCAGCCGCATGGGTGTCATGCATATATAGGTATTTGAACATTGCTATGTGTCTACAATCTATAGTGTTTCATTTGTCTTCCCTTGAGCAGTTACGTAATGCTGTCTATTGTATGTTCCTTCATTTGGTAATTATGACAAGTTTTTGAAATACTTCGTGACTGCGAAGTGCTGTGAGGATTTGAGGCAGTTTGTCATTCACTCTCCATTTTGCTTGCTTCTCTCCTCTCTTTTTGCGCTTGCTGTCTGTGCCTGCGGGTCCAGCTCTTTCTGTCTCTGCCTCTGTTTCTATATCTGCTTTCCCTGTGTCCGTCTCTGGCTGTGGCTCGTTTGTGGCTATACACCCATAGGCCATGGCCTGTTCGAATGCGTCTCTCCTTGTGCACTTGCATGTGTACACGCACACGTCTGTGTTGTCATGTTTGCTACGCACTAACTCCACAAAAGAAGCATGGCTGTGCCAGACCATTTCATCGGACTTCCACTGACTCGTCAGGAGGTTGAACCTGGACAGACAGTCTGCCCAGGATGCATTTGACTGATGGACAAGGACTATTAAGGAGTATCGAGGACACACCACGGCACCCAGTGCTATTTGATACCCTGGAGAGCGAAAAATGATAGACTGACTTTATTCACTCCAACCCTGAAGTACTAGCAGACTGCTGGTCCGGACCCTGGACAAGAGTGGTGGTAAGATTGAGAAACTAGTCTGACACAGCCATAAAACTCACACTACACACGTGTGTGTGTGTGTGTGTGTGTGTGTGTGTGTGTGTGTGTGTGTGTGTGTGTGTGTGTGTGTGTGTGTGTGAATGTGTGTGTGCTTGCTTGCTTGCATGAACGCATACGTATGTTTGCATGTGTGTGCACATGCTTGCATTCGTGGGGTATTGTGTCGGCGCATCCGGATATCTGGCTTTCTGTGCTTGGAGCCGAGAGTGAGAGTGGCCGGAAGGAGCCCGTGCTGCTCCTGTGGTCGTTGAAGAGTGCTGGTTATTAGTACTGTCTGTGCTTTATGAGATCAGCTGGTTGAAGAGAGCTGGCTATCTGTGTACTTAACGCATGGAAAGAAACCTTCAAGGATTGGCAGGGGTATATCATATATGGGAGTGGGAGTGGGAGATGGAGAGGGAGAGGGAGAGGGAGAGGAAGCAGACTGATCTGCAAACATTATATGGTGTAAGGGACGCAGAGGGTGATTCGCAGGTAAACGGAAGTTTTCCTTGAGCAGTGAACGTGTTCTCAACTCTCAAAAGGCTCTCACTAAACAAATGAAGGGAGTTCCTCCCCCCCTTCCATTTCGACTTCCTTAAGTTTGGACTGACTTTGGAGGTGTGGATGTGACCAGCGTAGCAGCACACACTCGTTCTCCGCACACGCAGGTTCTTTGGAGAGGCCACTCGAACACGCTGTCGTTCTCCACATCCGTACATTCTTGGGGAGGGTTCTGGAAGGAGGTCGGGAGGAGGGAGGGAGAGGAAGGTGATCACTGACTGATTGATTGGAAATGAGAAGGCAGGCATAGAGATGCGACCCTACGGAAAGAGCGAGAGGAGGTGCTGGTTGATTGGTTGATTGATCGATTGATTGATTGATTGATTGGAGGTGCGAGCCGCACAAGAGGTATATTCGTCCCTTGCTCTTAAGAGAGTTTGCGAATGCCATGTTCGTCTGTTCCTCATTTTGATCCCTTGTGTGGTTACGGACTTACGAATATGGACCTCGCTCGACTACATAATGCTGTTCATGCATTTGGACGCTTGCCGGACCAAGTGCATTTCGACCATTCCAACATTTTCATTGTATCATGTCCAGAATCCAGATTGTCCAAATGCATCTAGAGTGTTGTGTAGTGGAGCGGGGCATTCAGTTGGGAAGCCATATTCGTACTTTGGTCTATAAAAGCCAGTTGACTAACTCTGGCAAGTTTGTTCTGGAGAGTACTCTTATCAGTGGGAGGCAGCCGTATTCTTACGTTCCTTGTTTTTCTTTTCAGTTTTTACTTGGTCCAGTGTCCTCCCCCATAGCGGACGATCTCCAGACGGAATGACATAGAGAGGCTCTGAGGATTTTTTGCAGGAGCAAAGGGGGTCGGGCGTAGGGTCCCCGATTCATCACAAGAGTCTATGGCTGACGAGGCGTAAGCACTTTCTTTCTCTGCTCTTTCCTACATATTTGCATATCTGATCCGTCGGAGCTACCCGTGCCAAGACTTGTAGCGTCCTTGCCGTTGCTCCTGCCACCCTTGCTGCTGCTGTTCCTGCCAGCACCCCTGCTGCCCCAGCCACTGCTCATGCCACTGCCTCTGCTGCGGTCGATGTCTCGGCCTGGCATCGGGCCTCAGGGAGGCCGGTGTGATTTTTGTCTCCCCCCCTCTCGTCCACCCGTGGTCCACGGCCAGTGGCCGACAACCTTGATAAGAACAATTGTTTCCATCCGCGTTCTTCAGTCGGTGCACATGGATGAGGGATTTGAGCTCTTGACCGTCTCGTCATAGATTCTCCGTAAAAAAAAAAAAAAAAAAACCATTTGGTTGTCAATGACGTCAAGTAGGTAGATATGGTGGAGGATGGTCGTAAAAGGGGGCTCCATTTTTTTCCCTTTCCCTATCAGGAGAAAGGAAAACCCAGTTGAGACCCATGCCCGGTTTCGCTGTCATTTTGGCATCATGATTCCGTGTGCGCACGTTTTTCAAAATTTTGCAATTTTTTTGGGCATAATTTTGTCGAATTCTGTATCCAGATGGATGAACATGTGAATCATGTGAACGTCCCACTCCACTTGCAGTTTCTTGGCCCCCCCCCCCTCTCATCCTCGTGGAGTCGTGGACTTTGTGGAAGGTTTGAACTCTGAAGGACAGCCACAGATTGTAGTGCCGACGCCGGGACAAAAAGAAAAAGAAAAGGAAAGAAAAAAAAAGTGAAAAAAAAAAAAAGTTCCTAGAACTGATGTCAATGCGATGTGGTTGATGGTGCTTTCTTGAAAGTTCGAACTTCCAACTTTTTTTTTTTGTGTGTGTTTTTTTCAGACTTTTACGGTTTTTTTCAAAACCAATATCGCAATTCAATTCATTGCTCAAGGTTTGACCTTGTACAGATAGCCATAG